CTGGGCTCACCTGCTTTTCCATCTCTGGCAATGCTGCACTGTTCATTTGTTCTCCTTTTCTGGATTTTAACAAGCGATTGAGATCCTGAACAATATCCTTTGTCGTGAAATCTGCCTTCTTTCTGTCTGTAATCAGGATTCCTCCTCTCTGAATGACCTGTTTGCCATAAATACAGTCACCAATTAATTTCAGTTTTCATTGGACAGCTGCTCATCACCTAGAAGCACACCCTGAGAGAACTGCTGCCCTTACCTGCCGCAGTTTTCCCATCTCTCCTGCAGTGTCTCCTCCTGGCAGCACACACTCCTTAGGTCCTAGCTGAACCAGCAGGGCTTCAAGGTTTGAGAACTGATCGTTATCTGGGAACTCACAGACGCTCAGTTTTCTCAGCGTAGTGTCCACATACCCTACTCCTATTACTCTTTGTCCATCAGCAGAAGACAGCTTCACCCCCACAACCCCGATGGCCATTGACATATCATTGTTGGCAAAGAGAACTTCCTCAAACTGGGCAAGATTTCCCGGAGAACCCTACATGCAGGAGAAATTTAGTTTTAAAAAGGTGTCAACACAGGATACACTTGTTAAAACCGAACAAAACAAAGAAGAATTGGCAAGAACAGACCATTAATACAAAACACAGCTTTTTAAACCATTTAAACATCATCTATAGAAAGTGAACTACCTCAGGCTTCTTCAGACCTGCAGCCTATGGCAAGGACACAGGATGAGCTCCTCCAGCAGCTGAAAGCACGTCAACATACAACCAACTGCTCTACTTACCATCATACCACCAGAGGCAGTCACTGAAACTCCAAACTGAGGGATGCAGGAGTCATTTCTTTATCCCCTTCCCTCTTACCATCATACAGAAAGGTAGAAATTGTACCTTGTATGCTAAATACCAGTCGTTCTCTTTGACAGATTTACTCCCTGCTTTATTCTTGTAAACTTCCACTCTGTAATGACGAACCAACAGCAAATCTCTCACAAAAGATTCAAAGTTCATTTTACTGAGCACAACACTCTCCAGTTTCTGATTTCCTATGGAAAGAAAAGAAGAGGGAGGGGAAGGGGGACTTGTAAGATGCTTGAATGCATTCATCATGTTTGTTCTCTGTAATTGACTCCCCCCAAGTTAGAATTTACAGCCTTCAGAACTGATGTTTGTCTGATACTGAAGATAACATAAAACCCTTGAAACGACACAAACCCGAAACGTTTCATTATTCACATTAGACATGAAGAAAGCTTTCAATCAGAGACACCAGATAATGCTGTTGTGGAATGTTTTGAAACCAAAGCTTGAAGGACCCAGGCTTCCATCTCTGAACTGAGCAGCACTGAACATAACGCAGAAATGGGGCCCATACACGTTTCCTGGTCTGGGAGGTATTCCAAACCCCAGCCTTGACACTGTCACACTTTCTAAGATCTTCACAGCTTTCTTCTTATGCAGCAGCCCATCACTCACGCCAAGAAGCGCAAAGCATATTCCAGTGCCATTCTCTTTCTATTGCCACTGCATAAAAAAAGTTTCACTCATCACGAACCGGTTCCAATCAAGTTTATTAAGTATAAGCTCTGCAATATTAAGCTACTTGAGATGAGTGATAACAGCAAGGTTTGCCTCTTCTGACAAAGTCTTACATCTGATGTCTGCAAGCTCTACCTCTGCATACCAAAAGATTAACAAAAAGGAGCAAGAGGCAGATCGAGAAAATCTTGAGCAATGCATAATTAGACGTTATACCCTGCTGCAGTCCATCGTGAGTCAATCACGTACGAACAGGCGATTCGCACACGTGAACGTCACCATTGCAACCCAACGAACCACCCGCACTCGAGCAGTACAGAAACACAGAACCACAGAGGTTGGAAAAGACCCCCGGGATCTGCAGCCCGCAGCACAACGCCGCTCCTTCCTCCCGCCGCGCCCCACGAGCCGCCCGCCGCCCCAGCTCCGCACGCACCTGGCGCGCCCGCTAGCTGCCGGATGACGGCCCGCGTACGGAACAGCTCGCGGGCGGCCAGCCGCGCGTCCGCGCCATGGACCGAGTAGTAGTCGCCGCGCTCGAAGAAGCGCACGGTGGTGTCCGGTTTCTCGAGCAGGGAGAGCACAGCGCGCACGAAGCCCGCCTCGGCCCCCGCGCCCTCCGGCCACACCGCTTCCCGCGGCGCCTCGGCCGCCATGCTGCCGCCTCCCGCCATCGGCCGCCGCGCGCGCACCGCCCCGGAGTCGCCAACCAATCACCGCACGGCTGCGTCACGGCCGCCCATCTCGCGCGCGGTGTGGGGCGGTGCTGAGGGGACGGCGGTCGGCCGGCTGGCAGGGCGGGCGGGCACGGCGCCTGGCGCTGCCTAGGGGGCACGCGTGGCTGCCCGTCTGTCCTCCCGTCCCGCCTGGTTATAGTACAGATGACCGCTGCGTTTCGATGAACGAGACAATTGGAGAGCCACTTTCGGCTATAAACGCGGTGGCAATGCTTCTGTCTGCTGCTAAATGCATTCCTGTTACTGTTCAGAAAATGCCTTCGAAGCCTTTTTGCCAATGCACTCGCTGAAGGAACATGGGTGATTCTTGTCATGAAGAGGGTGGAAGATCAGCGCTCACAACACTTGCCTTAGGAAAAGGCCGCATGTATGGTCAGCAGAACCTTTGTGGCTTTTAATAGCCTTAAATCTTCCTGTTACCTCCTAAAACACCTTTCTGGAGGGGCTGTTGGATTTATTTTCGGTTTCGACAAGCATACTTTCTCAGACCTTATTTTAAACCACCTACCCTGATAATCCCGACCACCAAGATCATTTGCTTGAGGCTGTGCTCCTGTAGAAAAATTAGGCTTTAATAACTACCATTCAAACACCCAGCCTTCTGCAGGGCATGCATAGTAAGGTGTTAAAGCCAGGTCTGACCAAAATAGATAGGATTACTTCTCTTTGTACTCACTGATAACTACAACTAAAGCAGATGAAAGCGTAAGAAGTAAATAAGCATCCTTTCATGAACATTTGGAGAGAAGGTGGGCTCAAGGGACCTCATTACCACCTTCAAAAGAGATAAATACCTGTTAAGTGTAATTGCTGCCTGTTAAAGTTTATTCTCACTCCGGGGCTGGTTACACCTTCTCCTTCAGCAGTTTGCTCAAGGCAACTCTACTGAACTGTAATCTCCCACTTACAGAAAGCCACTACCCAAACCTGCCGCTAACATTCTTTGTGGTGAGCGCAGTCCATGAAAAACCCTTTCTGTTGTGACAGCTGCTGAACATTTCACTGGATCAATCGCCTTTCTGCTGAGCTTTTGCCACTTCCCTCTTCTGTTCACCACCCTGGTTCATCAGCACAGGTCTGGGTACAGACCATCAACCTTGATGAGCTGTGATTACTTCATCATCCTGTTGCTTGCAGAAGGAACGAGAAGATGGGTGTAACTGTTAAACACGCAGTGGATAGGAAATAGATGCTAATCTAAACCTTCATTAACTTAGCATCCTTCTTATGCATAACTAGCATACACAGAAAAATTGATTTTTGTTTTCAGTTAAGGAAATGGATACCCCTTAACCACTCAAAAGAAAAAAAGATAAATCCTGTTTTACCAACGCTTAATTAGTATTCAAATATAATCAGTATATATCAATCTATCACCAGTAAATTTTGTAACTGGTGCACATGCCTGTGTGCACACATATACAATAGGCTAATATTAAACTCAACAGTATACACAACCTTACTGAAAACCAGACATCATTTAACAGCTTATAGAATTACATGAGATTTAGCATAGCTCAGCAACTCAACTGCACACCAAGGCAGAGAGGGGTATATAGAACAGTCTTGCTGCCACTACAAGAATTGTCAGTGACAAGCACAAATGAAAGGTTGCAAGGTACTCCAGCAAATCCCCTACAGTGGGATTTTTTTAGTTGGCAGGAGCAGCAGCTCAACAGAGCAACTGACCTGAGTGCCTCCACTTACCCCACTTACATTCAATTTGTACATAGACAGCTAAGTTCATAGTACCACAAGTCAGAAGAATTGAAGGAGTAGGCACCGCTAGTAACAAGTAACATCAACACCCAGCACAGTAATATAACCTTATTATAGTTGATGCGTTATTTAAAAACGGAAGGTATGCTGGTGACCTATTACATCATACGTAGGGTCAGCACAGCCCAGCAGCTTTCCTATTTTATTTTGGAGACACATAGGGTATGTCTCCCATTTATAAACACAGCACATAGGTAGCAATCACACTAGTTTAGCATACTTTTCCTGTTTTAGGGAGGGGGAAATCAAAACAAACTACGTTAACAATCAGATTTGTCATTCAGTTCCTTATCTTGTATCTCATTATTTCTTTGGCAACAGGAGTTACAGCGTCTCCTTTATAATTCAGATGCTAGGTGGACTACACACGTTTACCTGACAGCATACATTATATGCATTACTGACTGCCAAAACGAGCTCCTTCACACTAATTTCTGGGAGGTAGATAGTTTGCTAAATTTGGTCCGCCTCTGTGGACAGTAAACAGTAATAAAAGCAAAAGCAGTTTAACCGTGCAACAAGTTCACAATGGCTAACTATGGAAATTATGGTATAAGAGCTCTTCTGGCACTCTGGGAGCAGATACCAAATCTACCCACTCCCAACCCTACCAGTGATTCAACATTTTATAATAAATACTTACATACCAATTTGAAGGAGTAGTCTACATATTCCTCAAATAGCTGTTTTTACAGCACATTTTTTCTTTTCTACAGACAATCCATATTACTATTTTACTCTTGTTACACATGAGGAGTTGAAAATAAAGCATAAATTTCAATTAAGGAAATAATCAGGTTACTACAAGAGTAGATAACTAATACAAACTGTTCCTTGTGTTTCTAGAACATTTTCGCCTTTGCTACTACTGCTGGAAGTACTAAACTATTGAAGTTAGCAGTATGATAGCTCATAGATCACCATTCCAACATGAAAGAATAACAAGCCCGTTTCAAAAGTTTTATTGTTTTGTCATAAAAAAAAGTTACAGCTAGTTCAAATATGTACAAATTGCCATAAAAACAAAGCCATGTTTCATTATACATGAGCCAAACTGTCATTACGACATGGCTATAAAGATCATCATTTTTAAAAAAACCTCCCACAGGACTAAAAGAACTATTTAAACATTTATGCTCCGGAAGCCTAGTAGCAGCAGTTGTCAGCATATCTCATTACAAAAATCAGGGAGTGATAGTTGGACTAGAGTAAAAATAGGGCGTTTAACTCTCAACAGATAACAAAAGAAGGATCATGGCTGCCGGTCTAGGCTTCGTTTTGGTCTAGGCTTTGTTTTAACAGCGATTAAGCGAGCACAACTGACTCCCCTTCAGAAAGAATCTTCCAAGAGTTAAGATCCATGCCTCCCATCTTTCTGTCGTTTCCTCATCTGAGTCACACTCTGTCTTCAGCTGATTTCAGTTATGCGTTCAGTCCTCTATGCATTTCATTCATTTCCTTCATCTGGGGGTGAGTGGGGAAAGAGAGCACTGTCAGCTTGACTATTCAGTTACAACATTTGGATTCCTATATAAACACTCTGCACTTGGAGCTGCAGCAACATACAATGGCATCATTCCATTCAGTGGGAACTGCAAGGCTCATGCAAATACCTCAAGCAATGATGTTTGTAATAGAACAGGACTACCAGTGCTTCCTGTGGATTGCACAGCCTTTGCTATAGATATGCAAAACGGTACTTGACTCCAGTACCGCCACCCGCCTAAATCCTAGGAAATGCAAATCGCCAATTGCCTCTGAAGCTACTGCAGAAAATACACGGTCGACTACAGGGATGAAAGAGCGGTTACAGAGTTTCAGTGCTTTTACACTCTTTTATTCTTCATACTTAAAATTACCTGCAGCACCTAATGCAAGCTTTTAACCTACACCAGAACTCCTGATCAAATTTGGATTCTAGCTAACCTGTTCAATTTCCCCAGACAGCATCAACAAAAATTACCTCTGCTTTCACGTACTTCCCTTTCCTCCTTCTTGAGACAACCTGTAAGGAAAGGACAGGTTAATTGTCAAGTTTAATTTTAAGTGAAGACCTAAATGTGCTTTTTTCCAACCCTTCACTTTCCATACAACACCCTTGTGTCATAATGGTGCATCCCATCACCTCTTCTCTACTCCCCAGTCTCAAAAACAATATCTAGCATTATAGTTTACAAAGGAAAACCTATTGAGAGTCCCATTACCCTGGTGCATTATCTCCCAAATTTCACTACTATTGTGGCAGCTTTTTAGAACTTACCAGAGCAATAATTCCAGCAACTACTGCAAGTACTACGATAACAATGACAGCAATAACGCCAGCAGTCAGAGACTTCATGGAAAACTCCGGTGGTACTTCATCAACATAGTAGACCATCATGTTCTCAAAAGTCAGCGCTTCGTTATCGATACTCATGTTCAGCGCGTTAAGAAAGATGGGATCACCTTTTACCTAGGGCAGACAGTAAAAGAGACTTGCTTGTTCAGCTGGCAATAGACATCACACAGGCATTCCAACAATTTACCTTGCATTAGCCAGCACACAGTAAGGCTACTGAACATAATGCAATACACACTTAGTCTTTCAAACTTTACCCATGACACTTACATCTTTTTCAAAGTAGTAGGCCACATCAGCTATATCCACATCCCCAGAGGATTTATCTGAGGAATTTTGCTTCAAATCAATAGTAATAGAGGGATTTTCATACTGGAATATAAAAGAAAAAAAAAAAACAATAAAACACACACCATTAAAAAATGACTAATTTAGATCCAACTATTAAATACACAGCAAAGTATTACAGAATGTGATCCAACTTGTGAGATCACATTCTAAATCAACTTTATGGTATTTCTCAAGCAAAGTTCTTGTAGTATAATTCAAATTCCATGTTCTAGTGAAAAATAATTCATATATAGACTAAGCAGACAGACATGCAACTTTCCAATATTTAATTTCAGATACAGCTACTCACTAGTGCTCAGTAAGCAATATTATTTTGAAAGCCTATGGTAACATACTGTAGCACATTCACGTTTTCAAAGTAATCAACATTCCTATTTCACTAAAACTTATGTGCTTCTTACCATAACACCAGCTATGTAGCGTCCATCCAACATGTAACGACTGGTAATTGTATCCTTAAGAAATCTGCAAGGATATTAAAACCATAACCGTTGTAAAAAGCAAAGTACAATTATACACAACTATTTTTCCAAAGTAGGAAAGACTAGTAACGTTTTTTCCTCCTGCAGTTTGCGAAAAGCTGACCCTAGATAGCAGGTAAGCTCCAGCCCAGACTTTCACTTTCTCCCTGCTAGCAGCATGGGAGAGAAGGCAAGGTAGTAAGAAAAAATCCTTTATGGGTCATGATAGTTTACTAAATGAAGCGGTGGGAGGAAAAAACAAAAAATCCCCAGGCAGTGTCCAAGCAGTGGCTACTCTGGAACCACTCCCCCCCAACCCCGATTTATTGCCAAGTGTGACATTTTACGATCTGAGGTATCTCTGGTGAATCCAGGTCAGCTGCCTCAGATGTGTCACCTGCCCATCCCCAGTCTACTCACCATGGCAGCAGAGAGAGACAAAGACCTTGACAGTATGTAAGCACTGATCAGCAACAGCTCAAACACTGGTGCTTATCAGTACAGTTTCGGTCACTTCTGCTTTGAAAAAAAGTTAACTCCAACACAGCCAGACCCAGCATAGCAGAGTTCTGTTGATTCCCAAAAGTGAAGTTGCACTTATGGAAAAATAAAGAATTACTGTACTGGCAAAAAGCAGAAGACCTAACAGTCGACCTAACAGAGAATTCAGAGGAAGAGGAGCTATACAGTAGGATTTTTTTTTTTTTCCCAAGAAAATAAGCAAAATAAACTTCACAGCTACAAACACTTTTCTTGCCTTACGACCTTTGACAAAAAGGTAGGATTTTACTTCAGCCAAAAATACAGCTAACCTGTTTTGTCTCCTGCTTCTTCTTCACAGTTCCTCCCTCATCTTTGCCAGTTTAATTTTTTGCCAGTTTCTCCTTATTACCTATATTCTACTTCTTCCTCTACCAGGAGCAATCAGTTTCCAAAATAAGATCAATTTCCATTGCAAAAGAAGTTTTAAGGACCTTCATAAGTCACATCCAAGATGTCTCATAAACAAATGAGCTCACACATTTGACAATGCTTTTAAGCACGCAGTTGTTTAGAAGTACATTAGGTATCTGATAGTACATGCAGATATTTTCGCAAGACCTTCCAATCATCACTTACTTTGTTAACGTCTCTGCGTTCAGAGGAGTTTTTCTCTCAGCATGCTTCATTTCAATGATGATCCACCTGAAGTAAGATGTAAATACAGTTAATATTCTTAAAAATACACACACGTAAAGTGCATGCTACTGTTTCTAATCCCATGAGAGGGAAAAAAAAAAAAACGCACTGAGGAAAAAAAAAGAACAACACCAAACATCTTCCCTCTTCCCCATTATTTTCAAAGGAAAAAGTGACAAGTACTTATTGCTCCATGTTCAGTCCTAGGGCATTATTCATACCGACAAACCCCATAAGGCTGATCCAAACACAGGAAGGTTTTCAGGTTACAGCACACCCTATTGAGAAGACTTACATCGTCCTGACTAATTGATTGCATTTCAGGTCTGTGTCATGCTTGTCGGTTCTTCTGACACCAGCTGTGTTCACACACCAGCAGGTGGTTCCATTGCACTGCTTTGCCTTGAAGACACCATTATTTTCACATTCAGGATCGTACAGACCATCAGTATCTTGAAGCGCACCTTTGGGTTTCTCACGGCGGCCTGATTTCGTGTTTGCCATTTCAGCTTTCATCAACAGGCATTTGGAAGTCACTAAAATAACCAGCAGAAAGTCACATTACACAACAGGAGCGTTCAGAACTCAGGCTGGGAAAGCACAAGGTTACAACAGACGTGACGGCACCCGACGCCATTACAAGGAAGAGCAGGCACCCAAGATGTAGGTGTGCACAACATCAACACAGCAGGGGGATCTGAAAGCAAGCGCTTAAGAGCTCTAGGCTACCTCAAACTAAGAGTAAGGTTTTGGTACAGAAGCTCTAGGTTTGAGGGGGAAGTCGGGATGATTACTTCGAAGGAAGCCAAGAATTAGTCTTTGAGACACCCCTGCCATTAGGGATGAACTGTTAAAGAGCATCCACACAAGTCACACGGTCGGAATCAGAAAGGCTCCGTCGCCAGCTGGTTGGCGTGGGAGGCCTGGGAGAGCCCTTCCTTCCCTCTCTATCGTTATCTCCGCCAGGAGCTCACCGCCCGTTTTCACATCTCCGCTTGAGCGCAGCCGGGGGGTTCAAAGCAGCGGGCTTTACTCACGGGTCTCGCAGCTGACGGACACACTGGAGCCGATGGAGTTGCAGTTGCAGACGCCGTCGACCAGCCTGCAGTTGGTGACGCGCTTGTTCATTGTGCAGGTGCACGCTGCAAGAGACGCGCGGCCATAAGCACGGCGCTCCCTAGGGCGAGGCGGCAGAGGGAAGGGCCGAGCAGCCGCCCCTCGGTCCCTGAAGCGCGACGGCTCCCTTCCCGAAGCACCGCTCCCCCCAGGACCCTCCCGCCCACCGCCCACCCATTGAAGCCGGGCCGCTCCAAGGACGGCGCGGCAGCCGTAGCCACCAACGGGTGAGAGAAGCGCGGCCGCCGGGCACCGCCGCCCTCGGGCCAGCGGAGAGGGGGCGCCATTTTGTGGCGCCGCAGGAGCCGCTCCGCGGGGAGCGAGGGGTCGCGGTGCGGAGGAACGCGGGCACTCACAGTCCTGAGCGCAGGCAGCGGCGCAGAGCAGCAGCAGGAGCGCGGCCCCGCGGAGCAGCTCCATGGCTTCGCGGCACGGAGGGGCCGGGGAAAGGCTTCCGAGGAGCGGGCCGGGGAGAGCGAGCGCTGCGTGCGCGGCGGGACCCGGTGTGAGCCGCCCGACAGGTCGGGCAGGTGGTGGTGCGCCGCGCCCTGCCGGCTCCGGTTACACCTGGGACGGGCGGGGGGCGGCGGCACCGCCTCTCGGACTGCGAGGGCAGTTAAACCACCGCCTCCTCCTCCCCCCGCACCTAGGCGAAACTGGAGAGAGCAGGGCGGACCCGATCTCACCTACCTTCCCTTCCCCGGCCCAAATATAGCCTCTTCCGGCGGCCCAGCAGGGAAACAAGCTGGGATGCGTGGTGGGAGCGCCCTGAGGCGCGGTCGGTGCTGAGGAAGAAGGGGTGAAATTGTGCGGCTCTGGGGTGTCGGAAGGGGATGGTGTCCCTGCTGCCGGCAGAGCGAGTCACTGGGATTCGGGTCTGCGCACCGCCACTGGGTTTGCCTCCTCTCATGGCCGTCGTGCCCTGCCCTGCTCTGCCCTGCCCTGCCCTATTGTCAGCACTCATGGGTGTTCGGGGTCTCTGTGGTCGTGCTGTTGCAGGCTGAGGAGTTGAGGATTGACGTTGCTCAAATTCAGTATACTTTTCCATAAACACTGAACTCTTTAACAGAAATAATGATAATCCCTCGGGAAAAACAACCAAACAGAAAAAAACCAACTAGATCACCAGTGCACACAGGGTACACTTTCTTAAGGTTCTTCTTCTTTACATGTATTTCAAAAGCAGTGTGGTAAACTCCATGCTAGGCCGCTGTGCTTTAGGCCTGCTCTGGAAGGTGTTGCTCTGGCACCAGGGTATGCACTTTCCTCATCCCAAAAATGCAGTCTGCTTCACAGAACACAAAACGGTCAGTAGAGTAAAAGGAGAGGAAGTCAGGCAGGAAAGCTTGCTGCTGTTTTTAGAATGGCTTTCCAAACTGTGACAGTGATGTCAAAGCATAAGACAAAAGGTTGGCAAGGGATACCAAAAATAGTTTCTGATTATTTTTTTTTAATGTATTTGTTTCTTCGATTAAAAACAAGCAAATACCTGGATCTTTCAGGAAGATATAGCAGTGTCTTGGAAACTAAGTGGTTTTAGTGAAAGAGAAAACCAGAATGACGTGCTGCATTTGTGAGAAATCAATGAAATTTCCAAAGACAGTCGAAACTTCCTCTTGCCTGTATTTACATTGGCTGTACAATACAAACATGTCGCCACTCCTTTTTAGGTGCAGATCTTGGTTAATGAAACTGTTTAGAACCTTTGTGTGTTCTGAAAAGTAAGCACAGGGTAGCTGTCTTCTCGATCTGTTTCTGCACAGCTGTGTTTGTGCTGCATCTTGGGTTTTGTATTCACTATGGTCTAAAGGGCTCTGCTGAAATCAAAGAGGAGCTGTCTCCTATGGGTCTCAGTTAAATGAGTGTTCTCAGGGGCTTGAGCCTGCTTGAGACTCTTCCAGAATTTTCTTGATTTTTCTTGCAGGTTTGAGTGGCTTAATAACAGTCTTCTGGTCTAGTTTTAAGAGACTTGAATTAACAGCATCACATTAGCAAAGGGAAATCTTGGAAAGATTGGAAAATCTCAGGCATAGACTTTTCGCAGTGTTGCTGTCAGATGATGTCATTCTGCTTAAAGATGGGCAGGGTCAGTAGGCTCAGGAAAGCCCATTTGATTGTAAACCTCACTTTGTATTTAAATTTATTGTTGTTCATTTCCTTTTTTTTTTTTTTTTCTTTTTTTCTTTTTTCCCCAAAATGAAGAGTTCCACAGCCTCCAAACTGCCTCCAAACTCTGGACGGGTCTTTGCTGTCAGTGTACAACGGCACCACCTTCAGTCTCTGAAGATGGAACAGACTTAGGATATTTGTGTGGCCTGAGGAAGCCCAATTCAGTGAATTTTGGCCTTTTCGGGTGATTCATTTCATCCTCGCTCAACTGTCAGCAGTAGGAAGCCCTACTGTAACTGCAGTGAAAAGATAGGTGCACTGCATTGCTTTCTGTAGAACAGCATTTGATTTCGCCCCAGTTTGCAGAATGAATGCAGATTTCATTATCTTTATTTCCTCAGCTTTCCACATAGAATGAAGTTGTTTATATATATCGACATTGCTCAGTATCTTAGAAACAGAGGGAATTGCTCTCCATGATGTTGTTCCACAGCAAAGCTTTGGGAATGAAAGACTATTCTCAACAGCATGAATTTTAGTCTCTTTCCAGTTTATTTTGAGGAAGCTTCTCCATAGAATCCAAGCCAGTGGATCAGGCATGTGGTTAAAATGGTAAAACAGCATGAGTATTGAAATTCCTTAATTACAGGGACATCCCAGTCAGTGTCTGGAGAGAAGGTGGGAAATACATTACATTATTCAATGTCTGTCCTAAATAAACGTTCCTCACTGTACAGCTCTCAAGGTAGGGTCTTGCTCACTGCTTACAAATAGGACAGTTTCATCAGCAGTTGGAGATACCTCTTCTTATCAAATAGCTGAATGCTTATGAAGCAGTGCAGTGTAGGCTAGTTGTGGTTTACACTTATTAAAGCATAATTATAGCTCAGACTTACTACAGTTTAAATGCTACAAACACATTACTGGTTCTATCATGCATCAAAAATGTTTTGATCACTAGGCTCAGGGGAACATGTAAACCCATCTTTGACAAACTTACATGATCAGCTTCATATCTGATCATTTATGTAATTTATATCTCCAGACCTGCTTAGAGACTAAAGTTAGTTCACTTCCCAGCTAAACTTCAAGAGCTGTGGAGGCCAGTGGGAGATTTTCCATTGATGTCAGTGAACTGTGGATCAGGTCTGAGGAGATAAATCCAGTTCTTTCAGAAGCCAGTAGGAATTGGGGTGATAATGGGACACAGCCTGGGTCTTTACCACGTGATTTGGATGAATGGGCTTGTGACACTCCACAGACACAGTAAATGGCCAAAATCTGCTTTCAGGGAAAGTTGCAAGAATCTGTGAGTCACTCCTGAAGCACCAGGAAATGCTGAAGGTGGGGCTGTGACATGAATTGTGGTCAACAGATGGAGAGATGAGTGGGGAGAGGATGACAGGTTTCGCTGGAGTATTTGGCAATCTAGCTCTAACTGAGATTTTTTTAGAGGCTTCAAATCTGGCCAGTTTTGGGCGTGCTCTCCTGAGGATGACCAAAGGTTTGTCCCTAACAAATAGGCCCTGTATTATGCCAAAGCACAAAAGACAGTGCTACTGCTGTTTGCCCACAAAATGAACGATGTTGGAAAATGTGTGATGATTGGTTAGGTCTGACGAAGTTATGAACAAACAGGAACAGTTCTGCACTCCAGTGACAAGTTTTTTGTAAACTCAGACACTTCCTATTAGGATATTTGTATAATGTTATTTTTATCTTTATTTTTATGTTTATTTTTATTTATTTTTTATTGCAGACTCTATTGTCTACACAAAATGAAGCCTTGAAAGGACCATAAGAAGAGACAAAACTGAAAAATTACATATAGTGTCTTGTTCACTATATGTTTCTGAACATGCCAGACCTTCACAAACCAATGCGTGCTTCTGCTCACTGACTTATTTTTGAGCAGTGTTACATACAGTCAAGTACTATTGTGTTTATTTTTGCCTTGTTTCCAGATAGTTTTGAATACTGAAAGTTTATAAAAGTAACAGTATTTGTTTGTTTTGCTGGAATTGTTGTGCACACTGGAGATGGAAATTAGATCAGAGGCAATGGCAACACTCAAAAGCCTGTCCTCATCTTAGAAGCTCGCAGCTTGGTACTCCATCAAGCTGCAAACCTTTGGCTGAAAGTAAGAGTGTCTGAAGCAAACAGCTGTTGGTTCAGAGGTTCTTAAAACTAGACGGGGTGCAACCACAGGAGAGAAATGCTCATGTAATTAACGTGTGTTCTATTTGCATCTTTGAGGATTATAGAAACCAACCTGTCTGATACATCATGGCATCCTCACCTTTCTTCTAGGGCTTGGTCTTAGCCCCAGTGGGTGGGGTCACTAACTGACTCATCATTCCTCACTTTACTGCCCTGGAAACGCATCTTCATGACTCTTATACCTACAGAGTATTTAGAACATCTGTTGTCAGCATTCAAAGCTGCTTAAAATGCACAGCATGAGAAGTAAAAACTGGAGTAAGTCTATATCCAGACTACTTTGTAGCTGGGAGGCAAGCATATTCAAAACAGGTGGTTATACGGGCAGATAGCTGTCCTGTTTCTCAGTATGGTGGCAGTACTTCCCTTGTGACCTGGAGGTGTCTGCCATTAAATCTCCTTGTGTTGGATTGAGCGTGCACAGGTCACTACAAGACAAGCTAGAGTAGATTTGTGGCTTGTCAGTCAGCTAATGCACAGTAGCAGCCTATGAACAGAGTTGGACCTGGCAGTATGCAGAAGACATCTATTCCTCAAAGAGAACAGGGTCACAGCAAGCACACAGGCAGTTTCCATGGAGCGGCGAACCTGCTGTAAATCCCCACCCAGTCTTGCCTCATTGCAACACGTATGTGTAGTCATACCCAAAGCAAAGGTGAACAAATAGAGCGATGAGACGAGCAGAAAAATCTAAGCCCACAAACATCACTGAGCAAAGCACCGTGAGCCTCACAGAGCAGGGGTAAAGAAGTTAGGTGTGCCATAGCTCACACTGTGTGGTGAAACTGAAATAAATGGCTTTTGTGTTGAAACACCTTTCCTTTCCTACTTTAGTCTGTATTTATTTATTTATTTACTTATTTCTGTTTCGGTTAGCACTAGCTGCTACCAAAGTCCATCTGTTTTCCTTTGCACTTTAATTTACAGCCCTTGTTAGTAATTTTATTGCTTCAGGTTCTGAGGGAAAAAAAACTTTTACAACTTGTGATTGCTGATCTCAAGCAAACCAGAGCTTTTTGACCTGGCACAGGGGGGTAATTATAGAGCCCATTGCTTCTTGGGAGGGGCATTCAATGTTTAACAAACTGTGGCAAGTCTCGTTTAACCCTTTGGAGCTTGGACCATTGGATGGCAGTGAAAAAAACACATGTTGAGGCTCTCCAGCTCACAATGTAATTCACCTGTTTTTAGTCTTTTAAGTTTTGCCTTTCTGCTACTGAACTTGGAGCTGTTTCTTTCATCACAGCATTGGGAGGATAGGAGACAAAATACTTGCATCTGAAAACATGTCTTTCCTTACTTTGGAAATTACTGCTGCCTTATTGTTGGTTAATCCTGTCATAGTCTTCTGAGTGCCCTGCTGTCAAAATAAAGTCTCTTGACAATAGAGAAATTATACTCTCTTAATTACCACTATTGTTTCGTATTACAGGGGCTGTGGTCATAGACAAAGATTCAGTTGTGATCAGCAGCATAAAAACAGTATAAATAGATACCTTGTGTTTGAAAGAGTTTGCGATCTGAATTATGCAACAGTAAACCGTGAGTTAAAGCTGAACTTAGGAATGGGGCATGAGATCAGAAAGATTTACAGTTTGCCCAACTACAGAATCATAAGCCAGCTAACTAGAGTCTGAAGGCACTTGCCTATTCCTCATCCACGCAGCCGGCTGTTAGTTCAAGTAATGGCAAATTCTCCTTCAGAAAAATACTAGGGCATTGTTTTGAAGGCACCAAACTTGTTATGTGTATTATTTCCCTAGATAAAAAAGATAGATTTATTTACTGGATAGTAAGTTGCCCATATGTGCCACAATATTGTGTATTACGGTGCACATATATATCAACATTAATGAGACTGTGCATGCGTGTTGCTGTTCACTAGACGTGAATGGGAAATTTTCAGCTGGCGTGATTTTATATAAACGTTTTATTTTAAGTAAAAGCTCTGGAAGTTGTATTGCTTCAGCTATGTTTTCATTGGTAGGATCTTTGAAGCCTGGTGTTTGCTTGTTGTTCCTGAGAGGAAAGAGGGAATACCTACAGACCGAAGTGTTTACATTTTCCACTGCAAATGTGGGTAGTCTCCACATGCGCAATATGCTGGGAGCTCTGGGGCTTGGTCAACACACCTGCTCCTTGCTCCTGCACCTGTGTCTTGGGAAGCCTGCTGCTCTGCAGCTGGAAGAAATGGCTGTGGGTCATGGCAGCACAGAGCTGTCTGGTTCATTAGGGCTCTTTGCACAATACAGGATGAAGAAACTGCAAGAGCGCAACTGGGTAATGAATACCCATGCTTATTAACTGCTCACTAACATGCAAATACCCAACTTCCAGTGGCTGCTAAAAGTTAAAATGTTGTGAGAGACATCAGGAGGTTAAAAAAAAATCACTATATAGAGTACTGCACACCTCACGTCCTTTCCCCTTAAAGCAAACACGCACTTAAGAGGTGGGAGCTGCTGATGTTGAGAGACACAGCGTTGGTTCCTCATTAGCTTTGCTGTGACACGATGGTGAAGACCTAGCATAGTCTCACCTGTTTATTTTGGCAATTAATTGGAACTCTTGAGGTAAGACTATTTTGTTTCATTTTATAACCAGCACAGAAGAGCCAATTCTTAAAATAAATCTTAAATGCTTCCACTGATTTGAGTGGGTTAGGTTCATACAGGATATATCCATCTATTATAGAAGTAGAAGTGAACAGCAAGTTCAGACTTATGTCCCCAGTATTTAATCTAGATGTGCTGTTATGGAGCACCTGGCTGTTCAGAAGCTGCGTGTTTAGACATGCACTGGATTTGCTGGTGACCTTGACATTCTTCTGCCATTTGTTGTTTTAGTCTAGGCAGTACATTTCTTACTCACTGCCTTATTTCTAAATGATTTTTTAAATATAGTTTCTGAATTTCTCAGTTCTCAAGAGCAACCAGAGCTATTCTTGGCCTTATGTATTAGAAAACCCTGATGAATGCTTAGAAGTTCTTTTCAGGTAAACAAAGCAGACAACAATTTCCGTGTCCATCCATCCATCACTGACATACACTTAAGTGGCACTAGAGCATTTTAATTTTAATCACACGGTAGCATTTGTTGACAGCAGGGATTTATCATGAAGGCTCCTTTCTCACATCGTTAGCTGCTGGTTAGAGCACCAAACAGTAAGCCATATTCAGGCTGTTACGTGTGTGGCCCTAGTCCAGGAACTCAAGTGCTGCAGTGATGTGCTATTTCATGCAACTCCTCTAAATCCTTACTCTCCCTTCCCACATAAAGAAAAAGGTTACCAGTGAGAGATGTGGATTCAGGTCGTGTATCTGTTTCTTTTTAAATTTTCTGACACTCACGTGCTTTACTACAGCGTATATTTTAAAAGAAATATGTCCAGGGTTTCATTTTGAGATGAATGCTTGCATTTCCCTACATGTCTTTAGGAACGGAGTTCTCATCCTGCATGTTTCATTTCATCTACAACATGTTTGACTGAGGCTGGGTTCCCCTGTCAAGGCCAGGAGTCCTGTCTACAAGGAAGAGAACTGTTCTTTTTTTTTTTTCCTCTCATCTCATGCTCGGCAATAAGAAAATTCTATCATTGGAAAAATGCGTATTTTATTGTGAACAGTGATGTGTACTTAGAAGAACCATCTTCCTGACCTCCTGAGAAGAGATAGACCAGGTGTTCTTCCAGTGGGACTTTTATCTTTCTCAAACAACAAAACCCCATTAAAAGGATACTGGATGTCAAAGGCATTTGTTTTCCTCCTGTACAATTTTTTTTTTCTGCCATACTTATTAATCTATATGTAAATAACTCATTCACTGAAAACTCCTTAATTGTTATTTTGTAATTTAAAGTAAGTAAACTGCCTTCCCTTCACCTTTTTGGACCTAGCTACTGAGTAGCTATGTAACCCTGTGTCACAATTGAGTTCCAGTGCATGAATACGATCTTCTTTGTTTTTCAAAAATAAGATCCTGTGAAAATTCAAACACAGATCTTAATCATTATCTATAGAGAAAAGCACTGAAACAACAGGTAGAGACGAAGATAGCTCAACTGATCTAACCTCTTCCTTTAGGAAGGACTCAGAATTAAGCCTATGTAGGAAAGCAGAGAAGTGCTGCGTTGTTTCTGTTTTAAGTGAAACAGTGCCCCCTGATGTTCACTGAGCTACTTGCACATCAGAGAACTAAGGACTTCTTTCAGATACGCTTGGATGAACTGTTAAACGAACTCCTGGACGCTGTAGTTAATGATATGCCAGGCTGAGAACCGGTTAGGTCCTCTGTACCGTACACAGGATCTACAACCTGATAAAGTTTTGTTTCCTTGTTTTTACCCTGTTAAATAACTTCTTACCATGTACCCAGTAGAGACCGACTCAGAGTCGGTTATGTTTCCACAGATAGCACATATTCATCAGTTGCCCTTGGGATAATTACCATACACGTGTCTATCTCAGGTAGTGATTTATGAAGTTCCCAGTCTTCTATTCCGTGGTCTTTTCTACTATTTAGCATCTTTTAGCATCACGACCAGTCCAACTGATGCCTTTTACTTCATCCAGTGGTCTTCCTCTCTAGCTGAACGTTCTCCACTGATGCATGCTCAGTAGAACGTCTATTATTAGTAATTTATAGGTGCCAAAATCACAACATTTGTTCACTCAGCACTGGCCAGTCTGAACATCTGCTTGTCCTTGGATAGAGATAAATTATACTGAGGTGCTGGAAAAGGAGGATGAAGGGGAGTATCTGGACATCTGCCTGTTGCATCCCAGTCTACTCCTGGTGTGAGGCAGTTTGGCCTCGTGTGGAGCCCTGCCTTCCTTTGATGATAAGCCTAGTCGTGTCTTTTCAGTATTGTGTTTCTTTAGCTAAAGGTGTCGTGTTAAAACAGAGGGATGCTTTTACAACGTTGCTAGACAGCAGGCAGCTGGTTTCAGAATAGCTTATTATAGAGGGTACAGCTTATTAGAGAGGGAAGAGCAACAGCTCCGCTCATCGCTGCGAGACAGCGGCATCTCACCGCGGCGCAACCGCCGCCTGCCAAGCAACAGCCGTGCACTCGTCTGATTGGCTGGGCGGGCTCCGCCCAGGGCTGTCGGCGGGTGGGGAAGTTAAGAATGCCTCGCCGCTTGATTGGCTGAAGCGGCAGCCTCCCGCGCTCCGATTGGCTGCCAAGGACGCCGTCTCGCGCTGGGGCGTGGCGTGAAAGGCGGTTCGCTGAGGAGCGGGCGGGTCGCTGCGAGAGGCGGTCGGTGTGTCTGAAGCGCTCGCTGCGCGGGAGGCGAATGATGTTGCTGGCTCTCGTGAGCCTTATCGTAAGTGTGTCGGCTGAGTTCTTACTCAGTGGGCTGCTGTGAGCCTGCCTCGGACAGCCTCCCCTCTGCGTAGGCCCTGCTGGAGGAGTAAAGTCGCTTTCTCCCGATGAAAGACAGCTTTCCTCGCGCTTCTCTTGGCATCCCCGCGTTTGCGGTTACAAACGAGCTAAAGGAAAGCCAGCTGCCCGGCTCAGCAGCAATACAGCTCATCTCAGCATCGGCGGGCAGGCCGGCTCCGCTGAAGACGCGTGGTGTGAACAAAGCACGGCAGCGCTGCTCAGTGCCCGTTCTTCTAGTTAACCAAGTCCTTCCCTGCAGGGACCTTGGCTCGCCACCATGTGGCACAGCCTGGTGCGTGACACACCTCCTGCTGCCCACCTGAAGCCCAGCGCCATCAGAGCCCAGCAGCAGAAAAAGGTGGTCAGACCGAATCGGCGTTCTTCCCGAAAGAGGCTAGGAAACTGTGAGAAACGTGTTCGTAATGGTACCTGCGGACAGCCAAAGCCACCGGGCCTTGTTATTCAGCGCCAGGAGATGACAGCTTTCTTTAAACTCTTTGGTAGGTCGCTATTAGATACCGATTGACTGAACTGTAGGAAGCTCTTCAAGTCTGTTTTCTAAATTTGGGGATGCTGTTGATATAGATGCTAACAGCTGTGCCTTAGGTTAAACGTGTTTTATTGTTGTTAAATTCCAGTGTATGTTTAATGCTTAAATTAAAATACAGGGAGGCTGTATTTGTAAACTGAACTGCTGACGAGCATCTTTGTTGTAGATGATGATCTAATTCAAGACTTCCTATGGATGGACAGTTGCTGCAAAATTGCAGACAAGGTAAATGTAGTTAATGCTAATCTATCTTGAGTGAAAGTCTGCTGCTAATCACTTGATACTACAGTAAGAATACCACTTGTATTTTTTTTCCTAATACGTTTTTATGGAGGCTTTGAGAAAACCCAATTTATGCTTTCTTTGTTGATAAGGCACTTTGGTGTGAGACAAACATTCTAAGAGTTTTCTGTACTGTTATATTGAAATAATGTATTAATGCTTAATAATGAATGTAACACTTCACATTTTACAACAGTATCTTTTGGCAATGACATTCGTTTACTTCAAGAGGGCTAACTTCACAATACATGAGCATACCAGACTCAATTTCTTTCTTGCTCTGTAAGTATTCTTAAATAATTATTAACAAAATTTTGGCATTAGCTTGTTGCTTTTTGATGATTCTGATACACAGTAAGACATCATAACCAGTTTGTAGTTGTTTGGGTTCTATATGAAGCAAAAAAACGTGATCTTCACATCATATATAGTTAGTGCAAATTGAACGTTGTTTTCCTGATTTCCAACTTGAGTAGCAGGGATGTTTGCATTGGTACTGTAATTTATAGCATGGACCTCTGCCTACAGAACTCTCAATCTCTGATCTTTGTATGGATTAAAATAAATATGCAATAAAATAAATGCAGGACGATAGATAAGAGATAGAAATGTCTTATGTTTCTCTTATAAGACCCCATTTAATATTTTGCAAGCTTTCAAGTCATTTGCTCTGAAAGGATTCATAATGATGCACAACTTACTAATAAAGTTTCTGACAAGATGATTTGAGTCAACAGTAAAAACATAGCTAAGTAATTTCTGAGAATCGCTTTCCTGAATACTTGAAACAGAGGTGCAATGATGAAGCCTTTATTGAGCCTATATACCTCTGTATTTGGCCAAGAAAATATAGCATACTGACAGATTCAGTACTTTGTTTCATAGTTACAGAGCACAGGTAATCTTTTCCTATACTAGAAGCTGCTCTGATTTGCACACCAGTGCAGGGAGAAAGGCGGCTGTTTCTTTTGCCATGAACATCCATAGATCAAGGAGGAGAAAGTTGTCTGGCTCCTATGATGGGAGAAAAAGCAGTCCCAGAACTGATAGAGGACTAGAAAGGGCCAAAGGGTCTCACTGGGCTGGGACTAGAGAGAAGACTTGCAGTCTTGCAAGTGAGGAGACTAAAAGTAGTAATTTTTTCAGGTATGGTTTGTACGGGTTATTAAACTAAAATTAGGTGAAAGCTGTCAGGATGTATGAATTCTTACATACCTATTTATTTGGGAGGCTCTTGGGTAAAGTATTTCAATAATAGCTTACCATAAATTTATATTTATCTAAAAGATACATGTAAAACTTTCTGACTGAGAACATATTGTTATCTGGAAAGAAGACTGCTTTATTAGAAATTTTTTTCCTTAGAATATTAGGAAAAATAACTAATATGTCTCTTAGTGTTAGAACTCACATTCATATGACAATTTGAGATTGAATAACAGACACAAACATATATATATATTTCAAGGTATCTGGCAAATACAGTGGAAGAAGAGAACGAAGAATCAAAGTATGAGATTTTCCCATGGGCTCTGGGAAATAACTGGAGAATGCTCTTTCCTGATTTCTTAAAGTTAAGGGATCATCTGTGGAGTAGAATTGACTACAGGGCTATTGTAAGCAGACGTTGCTGTGAAGAGGTAGGGACAGTTTTAATACCGTAGATGCTGAAACTACAATTCATACCAATTAACAGTATAGCTCCACGCTAACAATTTCTTCCCTAAAGTGAGTAGATGAGCCACAGGAAGGAAAAGGTGGAGCTTTTCCTTCATCAGTTTTTTTTCTTCTGCATTCAAAATACAGTCTTTGAAACAATGGTTTTAAGGTAAACTAGAATATTTTGTTATGCTACAGTTTCAAGCTCTAAGGACAAGAATCTTTCTGCTTTGTGCAAATAATTTTGCTTAAAGTATATTATTAGCTGCTAAACGTCATTCACTGCGGAAATATTTTTGTATGCATCTTTGCTTTACAAATTCCGAGTTTGTACACAAAGTGAAACCTTTAAGTAGCACCGCAGGTGAAATTTTACTCTCTTAAAAGTTAACAATGTAACTTTAATAGACTTGGTAAGGCAATGGATTTTCACTTTATTTCGAAAAAGAAAGGACATGCTTTTAACATGCTTTGTTAATGTGTTGTTACAACCTCCATTTTTCAAACATACTGGGGGGTAAAAGGCATTCCTTGCTTTCCAGATGACATCTGTCTGTCTGAAAAAGCCCTGCTATGTTTGAAGAACATAATGTTTACTACAGCTGGTGGAAAAGAAAATCTGTTCTGGGAATGGGATGAGATGCTTATGGGAAAAATACAAGCAATGAGGCAAGAGTGGAGTGTGCTTCAGAGCACACCGTACCAACTTGGTTGTTGTGAGTTTAATGACTTCGTGAGCCAGAAGATCCATCTAGTTTATGTTTAATAGTAAAAGACAACAACTTCAGTCCAACAAATAAAGCATAACCTGGCATTTGTGATGCTTTACTTATCACATTTAAACATCTGAATACAACCAGTCCACTTATTCTCACCTGTGTTAGCAAAACTAGTGAGACTGAGGCAGACAAGGTACCTCTTCTCTAGTCTTAATTTTGTTATATGTGAATTGGATCCCTTGTTCTCAGCTGTATGTTTGCCAGTTATTTTCACTTCTGATGGAATGGTTGCTCTGCTAGGTAATGGCTATTGCTCCAACACATTACATCTGGCAGCGAGAACGCTCTGTGTACCACAGTGGAGCCATAAGGAACTACAACAAAGATAAAATTCTTCTGCCACGAGGACCTAATAATTCTCCTATCCCCTGTTACGTCTGTGGTAACAAAGGAAGATTTGTACGACTGGGATTGTCATCTTCCTCCTCATCTGCTGGCAGTTTAGAAGAGTTATGTTCATCCCAGGATTTGAAGGACACCTTTGCAATTGAAAAAATGCTAGTTGACTCTCCTGCTTCTGCCCAAGGTATGGTTAAACACAGCAAATATTTTAGAATTAGTTTAGGCAACTGAGGCTGTATTTCCCTTTAAACCACAGTAAGGACCGCTTTATCCTTGGTGTGGTAAGATGATCTGTCTCCTTTAAGTGCAGCTCTGTCTTTGACAGAATTTATGCAAGATACTCTTTCAGAGTTGGGGCATGTATGGAAAAGAATATAGGAGTTCATTGCAAAAACTGTTTTATAGAATAGAATCTTTACATAGCGAACTACTCAAAGCTGTCTCCTGGGCCTTTACATGAGAAGCCTCTGATACTCAGAGCAGTTATGTCTAATCTTTCATTACAGTTGAGAGTGGAACCCCGGAGATGTAAACTTCCTGTGCTAAGGCCCCTGTTCTGCAAAGACATATTGCAGTGTTCTTAGTATTAATTATTTATTACTTCCTTATTAAGGGTTAGAGTTTCAATTAATTAAACTTCAAGTTCCAGCTCTGTGTCTGATTTGACCATTTGAGTACCTCATAGCAAAGCTAATAAACACCATGGCAGATCTCAGCATAGTTTCTGGAAAAAAAGCTATTCTTATCAACAACTGGTATCTTTTCTTAGAAACGAGCACAGCTTTTATCTAAAGAACAAGTTCAGTGAATTTCAGTTTCCATTACAGTTGTGCAAACACTATTCTTACAGAACCCAATAGCAACCAGTTGGTATGTAGCCAAGTTGGAAGCTGCTTCACTAGCATCTCAAAAGTTTTCTTACCAATTTTCTTCCCCCTCCTGATTTCTGGTAGACTGTCAGAGCCTGTCCAGCAAAAGGAGAAGAGATAATACCTGGAACCAAGACAACTCCATGGATTGGTTTACAAAGAATGAAGAATGAAATGCACTGAACAAAGAAACAGAGGCTGTGCTTTGCCGAACAATTGGTGTTGCACTGCCGTGCCATACACGATGACTGTTAAAACATTTCCCTTTAAATAGCAAGTAGGATTTAGGAGTCTGATAGGCAGTAGAAATCAAAGCAGCAATTACCTAGAAGTTACAAAACTTGCAAAACATAGCTATTTTGTAACTCTTTATTCCCATACAACCTCAGGTTAGCAGCTAACAGCAGCAGCATCAAGAAAGTGGTGGTCGGAACTTTCTCAGCTTGGTGAGGAATGCTAATTGAAAAACAAAACTAGTTACTATTTCAGTATTCAATTTCAAGTTTTTAATATTGAATTTCTAGTTTATTATAATTAGTTTATTATAGTTAGTTTATTATAATTAGTTTATTTATTAGTTTATTAGAATTTCTATTGGATTTCTAGTTTATTATAAGTGTCATGATTTTGTGATATAGTAATATGTCAAGTGCTAGTATAGAAGTTGTTATTTTTGAAAATATTTTAAGATTTACAATAAAAGCATTTTTTCAAGTATCTCACCTGAATGAGCGTCCTGCCAACGCGATGGTCTCGCAACGTAAGGTGCTGAGCAGTGTGTTTCAGCATCATCAGGAAATGACTCTGTGGGAAGTACATCTTTTTGTATAATTCTTTCCAACAGGTTTGAGAACATGCACCCCTCAGACTGCAGCTACCGATGCACATTCATTTTCTTTATCCCACTCTCAAAGTGCTTTGTTGTCATCTATCAGTACTTTCAGACCTCTCTGCTCTACACTGAATTTCACAACCCCATATCAGCCATATATTTATATAAGGTATATATATATATATATTTTACTTGCTAAGACAGTATAAATTGAATACAGGGCATATGGGTAGCATTTCCATAGGGAATCCTTCAGCCCATCACGATCCTCAGCAAAAGGACTGAATTTTATTTAAAAATTTCAAAACAATCAGGAAGGACAGTCGTTCTGTATTTGCAGACAGTCATTTATTTTCTGTTTAGCCCGGATTTTTATCTTTGGATTGTCAAAATTGCACTAACAATCTTATTAACAATACTATTCTTACCATCGCCTTCACCTTCGTTAAGAACTATTTGATCCAGAGTTTGGATTTCATCACATTCTTTCTGTTGAGGATCTTCCTCGATATCTTCTTGAGTTTCCACTCTTTGGCTTGATTTGCAGTTCTTGATTTTAGCAGGGAGCACCAACCAATTTCTATGAGTTACCTCAACGATCTTTTCACAGGCAAAAGGGAGCCTGCATGTCCGTATTCTGTCTAAAAGGTCTATAACCTGTGTGATGCTTTTGAAGAAATGCAAAGGATAAAGGAATATTTTAAGAACTCCAATCAGTATTATAGACTTAGTTCTATTGCCTTTGCCATATTCTTTACCTTAGGGTTTTTTGCACATCCTTCCATTTTAGGATAAAGGAACTAGCAACTCGACTACTGAATTGAACACAATAGTTATTTTGAGGATGTCATTAACTAAAACCTCTCAGTGACCACAGTAAGTGTTCTGAAGGAACCAAAGGATGTAGACAAGTGTGATTTATACCGAGTGCAACTCCTAAAAAAGGAAATAAATGAAAAATGCAACAACAACAAAAAAAGCATATATATATATGTTACTTCCATTAGAGTTGGATGGGTATTTTAGGAGAGCATGGTTTAGCAACAATTTCAGGCAATGCCTGTATAAATGTTGAAGTGCCAGAAGTAAATACTTACTTAGCTAAATACACAGCACACACACCACCCTCTTTAAGACTGGGGTGTACAACAGGCAGAGCAGATTGAGGGTTAAGCATATCCAGAACTATCTGCAAGAGAATTATGTTTTTCTGTTACAATACTTGAAAAACAACATTTATGTATGGAAAACTGATGCATGCTACAGCAAGGCAGTTTTATTAATGCTCCTGAACAGCTTAGAGAAACCTGAGTTCCCCAATCTATAAAAACAAGCCCATGCTATTTCCACCTGAATTTCTATTACTGCAGGAAGTCACGTGTTCACCAGCAAGGCAGTCCTGTACTAACATTAAACCTCCTACTAATTAAACTCTGTAATATTATTAAAGCTGCATTTACTAACACCTTTGGGTATCTTGTTTGTAAATGTTAACAAGCTCAAATGCATCTGTGTGATGAAATGATCAGGCTACGGTCTAAATGTGTAGTTTGCTGCTGGTTTCAAAGTTTAGAAAATTTCAGTCTCAGTTACCCATCCTTTATTTCTTTTTGGTAGAAGTCTATTCAAATTGTAAAACAGTGAGAAATGCAGTATCTGATCCTTCCTGTGGACTGTTGCATTTAAAGTTTTTAAAGATCATGTATTTTTATGCTAGCTATTCTGTTTCTTCACTTAAACCCTTTTCCCACGTTGTCATTTGGAGTATTAATGTAATTAGTTTGTCTTTTTAGAAACATTCTGTATTCTGTGCAGCTGATAGCCAAGTGTTTACATATTCATATTTTCAATAAGCTTGTGTAATTTCTTTAAATTTAATGCTTAAAATATTATGCCTTACTCATATACAAGAATTTCTGCATTTCTCCAAAATCAAAGCAGGTAAGTATGTCCTTACAAGGCAAGAACAAGATTTTGCTATTCTTCTGTTACTGCAGCTTGATTCTTTCATTTGGGAAAATGTAGATGGAACCTGGTGCAAAAAAAAAATCAGGATCATCTGCTAGCTGGTGTTAAGTTAGATTTGGGAATCCCACTGCAAGTGACAGCACCTGAGTTTTCAAGTCACACAGAAAACAACTGTTGATTTATGTCACGTATGGATTATTTGGACTTACTGCATCAAATGTTAAAGATTTCATATCCTCAGCAGCTTTTGAGATGTCTTTAAGAATGAAATCCACGTTATCTGGCCACTCCTCCATATGTCCTATTTTCCACGTTGTGCGCCAATGCCTGTAGTTCTTCTTTGCTAAGTTGTGATGGTCATCTCTGATTTCATAGCTGATAACACGTCCCTCGTGCCCAACTTAAAACAACAACAACAAAATACGAGATGTACTATTTTCCCATCCCTACTGAGTAATTTAGAAAAAAGATAGCGATGTAAGTGACAAGAAATGTGCCTCAAAATCTCCAATTCATTTTAGGAAATAAGCACATATGTAATGTCTTCCTGCAAAGTAACTCTCTGCAGGAAAAGATGACTTGAGTACCTGCGGCCTTGTGAACCCTTGATTCTTCTGCTACAGCTACCAGGGAGCAGCTGCGAAAGCTGCAATGCAGTTTGCTACCCTTAGATACCATAAAGCAGATTTGAAAGCAATGGTATTAAATTATTACTATTTTTTTAAACAAAGGTTTGCTGTTCTCCCCCCACCTTTTCCTTTAGAATTCAGCAAAGGCTAGGAAAATCCCCAGGCCTGCTCACTGACCTCACCCCATGGACAAGCTTTACAAGTGTACTTCCTGATTTATACATGGTTACTGTTTATAACCATAATTGCCTTATTATGTAAGTATAAACTTACTATCTTGAAATCTTCACTATGAGTCCAATTCACAACATTCTTCATAGAGGAAGTGTTATCAGGCTTTCCAGGCAAAGACAGCAGTGTGTACATTGCTGTATTATTCTGTGCTTGTATGATTCTCTTTTCTCAACACTACCATCCCATTAACTTCTTACTCCTCGCTACTTTTATTGGGCAAAGACAGCTTTCCACAAGGAACAGCTCACCATGACTTTTTAAGCTATTCTGAGCCAGCAGGCTCCTTTCTTCATCTATTTGATTCCGTGAATCCTTTCAGAAAAGCAAAGAAAACAGGTTGTTTCACCTCAAACAACTACAAAACAGATGGACTCCAGGAAAACTAAACTACTGTGGGGTGCAGCCAAGAGGGGCAGCTCTGCCCACATCCTGCCCCAGCCCCATTTACCTGCCAATTCCCCTCTGCAGCTACCAGCTCCTGACCATGCAGGGAACAGGACAGGAAATTGAAATGGCAAGAAACTAAACCTGCAGTCTACAAAAAGAGGAAGAGCAGCCTTCTGCCAGATTGCCTTCCCAAGACAGTTGATAATAGCATTAAATGGTTTACAAGCACAAGTGAAAAGGCACAACAGTTCGACTGAGTGCAACAGCTCTCCACCTTCTAGAGCAATGAAATCTAAGTCAGACCAGGCTAGCTCATGGCTTGAAAAAACAAACAACACCAACATTTTCATTATTCACGTCACAAAGGAAGGAGACTGGAGGAAGGCTCTGGTGCACTAGAAACCCAGCAGTAATGAGAACTAAGCCTTACCTTTCAGGAGGGTGACTCTTTATACAACAACCCTCAAAATACAAAGTATAGTTCCTGCATAGGGCCAGGCACAGGCTTCCTTTAAGTCAGCAGAGTATATGTGAATGTTAAAAGTGCTGCAGAACTTTTAAGAGTTGACTGCAACTGTTTGATCAGCTTAAAAACAACATAAGGAAGCACTGAACAGCCTGAAGATGGAAAGGCCTTACAGCGGGATGTGGGTAGGCTGGATTGTTGGGCTGATGGCAATCTAGAAATGCTTAGATGTGGCACTGAGGGACGTGGTCAGTGGGCACGGTGGGGGTAGTAGCTGGACACGATGATCTTAGGGGTCCTTTTCAATTTTCGTGATTCTACAGTTCTGATAATTGCACTGCATTTCTAAGAGCAGAGCCTTACCTGCTCTTGACAGAAACAAGCTCAGAGCACCAGACCCGCTGCCACTCTCCAACACAACGTCTCCTGGGTGGACATCCATCATCATCAGCATAGCACTGATATCCTAGGGGAGACAAAGTCACGACACGTTACTTTGAAACGAGGGTGAGGCCCACCCCGGCCCCCTGACCGTCCCGCCGGTACCTTGGGGTAGGCGATGGTGGGTCCCCGCGGCATCAGCAGCACGTACTCGTCCAGCGAGGGCCGCCTCAGCAGCAGCCGCGCCCCGGCCGAGGAGCGCAGCAGCTGCCCGGGCAGCCGCCCAATGATGTCCCGGTGCGGCAGGAGCCCGCCGTGCGAGTTCAGCACCGCGCCCGCCTCCAAGCGGCACAGCAGCTTCAGCGTCGCGTTGTGCTTCCTCCGCAGCTCCGCCAGCGCCAGCTCCCCCGCGCGGAGCGGGCTGAGGCGCGCCGCCATTTTCTCCTCGCGAGGTCCCTGCGGGGAAGGCGCTGCGGTGGGCGCCGCACTCGGCGCCGCCATTTTCTCCTCGGGAGGCGCCTGCGGGGAGGCCGAGGAGCGGGGCTCCGCGCAGCGCTCCACCGCCGCAGCCTGCTCCGGCGGCAGCAGCCGCTTCAGTCTCTCCAAAGGCGACAGCGAAGCCTCCCACGCCCTTCTCGACCTCCGCCCGTCGGACGCTGAGGAAAAGGCCCGCCGAAGAAGCCGGGCGGGAGCCACCATCCCGCAAGCGACGCGCTCTGTGATGACGCCATCCCGCAGGCGGCGCGCTCTGTGATGACGCCATCCCGGTCGCGTCACGGGGAGCGCGGCGCACGCGCGCGGAGCGAGCACGCGGCCGGAGCTGCGCAGGCGCGGAGGGCTGAGCTGGGAGCGCCATGGCGGCGGCGTGCGGCGGGGAGGTGGCGGCACGGCCCCCCTTGGCCTTCTCGCCTCACGACCGCCGTTTTCTCGCAGTCTCCGGCTCGGATGGGAGGCTGCGCGTGTGGGACGCGGCGAGCAGCCGCCTACAGCACGAGTACGTGCCCTCCGCGCACCTCAGCGCCGCCTGCACCTGCCTGGCCTGGGCCCCGCCGGGGGGACGGCCGCCCCCCGACAAGGTACGGGCGGATCGGGGGGAAGGGATCCGCGGGAGGAGCGCTCGTACCCCGCGCGGCCTCGAGGTGCGGCCGCGCCGCTTCACCCCGCCCTCCCGGCGCCATGCGGCGAGGCCCGGCAGCGCCAACGGGACCGGGCTGGCCCGCGCCACGTGTGGGGCCGCTGCTCGGGACGGAAAGCCCACTTGGTGGCGGGGAGCGCGGCGCATCCTTCTCTTTTTTTTTAATTTTCTCTTCTAAATTAACTAAAGGTGTTCTCAGCCAAAGTGCTGATGGCGAAACCCGTTTGCTTTTCGCGTTCCCTGCGTGGAAGCAGCGCGCCCTGAAGTAGCCCGGTATGTGGCACGCAGCCCGGCTCTCCCCTCCTCAGGACCCCGCGCCTCGTGCTCTGCGCTCAGCAGCTCCAAGCACCTCGGGGGATCTCCGCCTTCTGGCTAAGCTCACTGGGACGCTCCAGCAGAAAGCCTCTGTAGTGCACGCCTTAAATCACTTTTTCGGCTCGTTTATATCGAGGTAGTCCTTACTTTGCTCACTGTAACAAACGACTTCCTGAGCAAGATGCTTCTCTTGAATGGATTTGTGCAATACACTCGGTTTGCCCTAAGAAGCAACGAGTTAAATGTGTTTTGGTAAAAGCTTTTTATAAATACTGCAACAGGTATCTTGAAATGCTCTGTGCACTCAGATTACCCACCCAAAGGAAGGCTGTGTTGCCCCATTTTTGTTACTTGAGCAGCTTAATCCATGAGCTATATAAAGTGGAAGGAAGAATTAATTTCAGATTGGCCTCTTCATTGCTCGTTTTTAATTCAGCTTGGAAGAAAAGAAGATGCATACATTAATGGGAAGGCTGAACAGGTTAACAGAAACTGAAACTGATGCTCACCTCTGCTGTGTGCAGTGCAGCTTCAAAGCTTGACGTACCGTGCTGCCTTAGGTCAAGCACAGGAGGTTTTGAGTGGTGCTTAAACATTAGGGCCATTTTAGACAGCCACCCCTAAAGACTACAGATGCTCCAACATAGCTGTTTTTAGGGTTGTATGCAAAAAGGATTTCATCAGGCAAGCTTTGGCTTCCTCTGTTTTTTTCCTATGGCATTGTTTAGTTCTTATTCTTTTTTGCTGAAATGCGATGTCTCCAGGTAGCAGTAGTACCTGGTGTGCAGGAGTAAAACCATGACAGTAGGCGCCTGGTGTTTTGTCAGGTTACACCTCGACTGCGCTTTGGACTGCTTCTGTGTTAATGAAGGCTAGGTGTTTAGAGGGGAGCATGAGGAGCGCAGAGTTGAACTCCAGGCCCTGGAATTGCTGATGCAGTGGTGACTTATTGGCATGCTCTCTGCACACGTGCTTTTGCAGCGTTAGTGCTTCCTGCTTGTCCTGTTCACCACCTCCCTTCCCAACAAGTGGTGTCTTTTGCAAGAGCATATGGACCACTGACTTTCAAAGTAGTTTCTTCCATCTCCTTCCTAGTAAGTTGCAGCTGTTCTGTCATCTTCAGCTCTTAAGGCTCTTCAGGGTTTTAAGAGCTTTACTTAACATGTTAGCAAGAGAAATGAGATTTCTGTTAATTAGAAGAAAAGTCTCGTTCTCAGCAGCTGCCCTACACAAGAAAGAATGTTAAGGAAATTCTCATTTGCAAATGACTTTTTCTAAGTATCTCTGCTAGTTAAAGCTAAGCTTTTTGAGTATTTTAAAGTAAGTTTGAGTTTCCATAAATCTGAAAATGTTCAAAAGAAGCTGATGCTTGATACACTTCAGCTGCTCTATCCTCTCCATGAGAGCTAGGTGCTTCTTTGGAGTCCCTTCCAGCATGAATAGGTCTGAATTTTTCATCGATGCTTCTTTCGAGACAGAACACCCCATGAATAGTGCTGATGAAGGCTGTTCACTAAAGAAATGGGTGTAAGAAAAGTAATTGGAGAAAACTTCAGTACCCCTACTTTCTTCATAACACTGGTAGTGCTGCGGACCTCAGCGGGACCCTGTGATGCTCAGTGATGCCTTTGGTTTGCTTTAAGGGAAATCAGTCATAATGAACCATATGGAGATTGAATGAGCTTTAATTAAAGCTTTATTCAGGGGACAAGAACAAAATCTGCTCTTAATTGTGGTTTTGGTTCCCAGTATTGATTGGGAGCGATAATTAATAGAACTAGATATACAGATTTTGAAAAGTCTCTGGAAACATATAAGCTGTGCTTACGTCTCCAGTGGCAATGTGGTCCCTGTCTTTGCATTTCTAACAACTGCTTTGAGGTGGCTGAGTTGGCACTGCTGCCAGAAATTTAACGAGTTTATTCAGTGCGTGAGTCTCCTTATATTATCTTAAAACCTGGTTGATTAATTAGTTGTGCTTTGTAACTGTGGTGATTTCTCAGCACTTATGTTTTCATTTCTTTTTTTGTAAACACTTTTCTTTCCCAGGGAAGGTGAAGCCTAAACAAATCCTTGCAAAAACCAACGTCCTTACTTTTCTCTAGAGCCCACTGCTGTTTTTAACAAGCAATACAGCATATTTGCATTTATTGGCTTTGAATGAAACCATTTTCCTTGGGGGTGGGGAAGTGTGTATGTTAAATATGTAGGAAAGGAAGGCTCTACTTCAAACTAGTTTTGAGACTGTTTACCCTGTGCTGTTAAAGTTTTTAATTTGCTGAAAACCCCCAAAGTCTGGTAGCCATTATATCTCTGGAGCTGTAGAAATTATGTACGTTATATGATGTATACGATCTGACAGATGACAATCATAGAATCAGTAAGGTTGGAAAGGTCCCCCAAGATCATCATGCCCACCCCCGCCATGCCCACTGACTGTGTGTCTCAGTGCCACATCTCCATGGTTCTTGAACACCTCCAGGGATGGTGACTGTGCCAGTGCCTAACCACTCTTTTGGACAAGAAATGTTTCCTAATATCCAACTTGAATTAGCCGTTTTATTTTATTGATTAATTACTTGGGTTTACCCAGTCACAATAAACACAACTGTTTCTTCTGCCTTTTTTTTACTCAAGTTTTGCATGCTTTTGGTTAAGCAAGATGAAATTCTTTATCGAAGTAGTTGGTATCCCTTGCGAAGCAGGAGGGTGTAGACTTGAGAATTGCCTGATAGGCTGTAGGAAGACCCCTAGTAATGGACTCCAGGACTAGGATAAATGACATAGTTTCAATTCCTGGTTGCTTCTCTCTGTCTGGTGTGGTCGCACTTTCTTTTTAAGAGGCATTGTGGTTACTTAGTATTGCAAGACTGATGGTAAACTGATGATTCCTAATAAAACTTAACATACGTTTCTGTTCTGGGAATGAAGTAATTTGGTCATGTTTAATCTTTACCTCTGCCTCTGGGAAATGAACTCTGAAAAACAAATGTTTTTCCCTCCATGTGTGGTCACTAAGTTAACAAAATGGCCTCTATTGAGCATTTCCAAGAGACTCAGCAACTTTGCTACCTTGAACGTGGAGGTATAAGATGAACCTCTAAATTGCCACGTCTACATCTTGTGTCTTAGCAGAATTTGTGCTGGCTGACTGGATCTGACTTGGAGAGGTTTCTTCCCCCTGCTTTAGCACTTAAGAATAACAGGTCAAACTAATTAATTCCTTTTTTTTTATTCTCTGTTTTGCAGGATGGCCCCCAGAGGAAAAAACGGAAGTCTGAAGCTACAGGAGTGGACAAGCAGTTAGACATCCTGGCTATTGGCACAGCAGTTGGTAGCATTTTGTTGTACAGCACAGTAAAAGGAGAATTACAGAGCAAGCTAGTAAGTTACACACTCATTGTCACTTGCTGCCAAATAATGGTAGTTTCAGTCAGCTTATGCTGTTCTTTCTGTTGCTTAAAAATGGACTAAACTGACCTAGTTAATCAGATCTTTTTTTCTTAATGACTGCATACATGAATAGAATTGCAATAATTTAGATTCTTGGGAATCTTTGAGTGGTACTGCTGTTGGCAATATGAACCTCTTGGTTTGGCAGTATCCTAACATTGTGTGTGGATTTATTTTACATCAAATATGTTCATAATGATGAAATGTCTAAGTGAACAATTAAGTTCTCCCTGGGCATATCGTCCCCTGTGCCTCTCTAGGGCTACAGGAGGAGAGGGCAGGATTGAAGTATTCATCAGCTCTTGGTTAAGCTGTGGTACTCTTTGATGGACTCCTCTGTACATCCTGATTGGACTTCAGCAAGCAGGCACTTAGATATCTGTTATCAAGACACCTGTGCTAACTGTGCTACTGCTCAGCAGCTTTGGCTGTGTTTGTCAGTAGTGCAGGACAACTTTTTGTTAACTGAAGTAGTAGAACAATAATGAATACATGCACAGGTGAAAATATGAAGTATCTTTAACTTGCAGCTCTGTATGTGTACTGGTTGTGAAAAGCACAAAACAAGTTGCATGCTATGTGCTCCCCTTTGAGGTATCTGTGATTTGGATTCATTTCTTGAAAGAGCACTTTGTTCTCATTGTTGATGTGGGGAAGATTCAGTAGCAGTACCTCTTTATTCGTAAGTAACCCTCTCATGTTTTGTAGGATGGTGGTCATGACAATAGAATAAATTGTGTGAGGTGGCATCAGGACAACTGCTGCTTGTATAGCTGTTCAGAAGACAAACACATTGTGGAATGGAACACACAGACCTGCAAAGT